CACACACACATACACACACACTCACACACACACACACACACACACACACACACACACACACACACACACACCACCCTGATTCGTTAAACGTAAAGAGAATAGACCCCCAAAAAATCCATTAGAGAATTTGCAAATGGTCTGTTCGCTGATCATTGGGGCACAGTTCTGGCACGAAACCGAAAAAAAAAAAAATCACCCCTCAAAAGGAAATTACAAATCCGATTACATCTTTTTCATTCATCGGGAACATGTCCTACCATTGCTTACCGTAACTCCCCCTCTACCCCCTCAAAGGGCAATAAATAAGCGTTTTATTGACACCGCACTGAATGGAGCTGAGAGAATGCTGATAGTTGTTTGAAGTGTTGACACTAATGGAGATTACGGAGCTCTGAAATTTCACGCTGACCTTATTTTGTGTTGTTGCTTCTCTTAATGATCGTATCTCATCAGTTTGACAGAATTTCACAATCACAGTGACAAACATTAAAGACAAAAGACAGGTTATTAGGGAGACCAAAAACAAATTTTAAAAGAAAGGGAGAAAAGGAGAGGTTTGGAGGTGGGTTAAAACATAATTAATAGAAGTTCTTAATATTTCAACATGACAGACATAATAAGTTATCTATTCTTACATATGAAAACAGAACTCCACGAGCTATAACATGATGTTCAATAAGACAAATTCCCGGTACATTACTATAGATTCCGTTATACTGCCAATTCAGAAAAATAATCTTTTTATTATGCCCTGATTTATGCTTTGAAAAAACCCCTTTCCTTAAACAAGCTTTAAAGCTAGTTAAAGGCATAACTAAATTCTACCAGCTTCCTGACTGTCTTATCATGTTTTTCAAGATCTACAAAGCCACCATCATAATGGGTAGTTCAAGAAGCCGGTCATTCATCCCCACACTTCTGTTCCTGTTGGTGACAAGCTTTGAACTCAGTACCGGTCAGACTTACGAGAACGCAAAGGCTATCTTTGACGACAAGATGAACAGCGCGAACTACCACACAGAGGTGAGACATGAGGGGCATTAATATTTGTGGAAATACGCTGCTTTATATGCTATGCATTATTATCATTATTATTATTATTATTATTATTATTATTATTATTATTATTATTATTAGTAGTAGTAGTAGTAGTAGTAGTAGTAGTAGTAGTAGTAGTAGTAGTAGTATTATTTCTGTTGTTGTTGTTGTTGTTGTTGTTGTTGTTGTTGTACTTTCTAACTCTCCAAAATGTAAAAAGGACTAAGGTAGCAGCGATTTGAAAACCCGGAAGAACTTTTTCTCGAAACCAATGCTGCCCTAAGTATTCTGGCCAAAGCAAACATGGTGACTATGTGAGACCGCTGGCTACGTCGGATGAAAAAGTGCACTCAAATCAAGCGTGGTTATTTTGAATTAAAAAAAAAGTTTTTATTAGTTTGCACAAAACTTCATGTCTCTAAAGCAAAAATTAGTTGATTTTTACAAAAGAGGGAAATGCACTTGTGGGACAGATCTTGTATATTACTTTAAAAAACTATTTCTGCCTCTTTTTTTACTTGCAGTAATATTCTATTCACTTCCTCAACTGAGCTGAGCCACACAATAGCTCAGTTGGCAGCCTACTTGACCACAGTACAGATTACCCTGATTCGAATCCCCGACGAGATACTCTGAACTTGGGTTGTTTGCGTGCGTTTTTTACACCCGCCCATTTGTCTCGGTTCTATCGGAGGTGGGCGTTGCCTTTGGAGGTATCGCCTCTTAAACAACCTCACAGTGCCATGTCAATAGTAAACAACTGAAACAGGTGAGGGAGTTTAAATATATTGGCAACACTTTTTCGGAAAAAATAGAAATCCGAACTCAAAAAGCCAACACCATCACGTACCACCTCGCACCCCTTCTGTCTCACCCAAACATCTCCTTGGATACAAAGAGACAGCTTATCACTTCAATATTTATACCAACATTATGCAACCAGTACCAGATCTGGGCCTGCTTGCACGTCAGAACCAGTTAGCGTAAACGCTTTTAGAGCTTAAACGCGGTTAGCTAGACGAGCCCTAACCGCGCTTAATCCCTAACCGAATTCTGTATGCACATCGCGCTAAACGGAAATGTATAGCTAAACGCAAAGTGCAAGGTCATATATTTATTAGATTACTGGGCAAACCCGCTCCGCTGTCACTGTGTGCTTTCAGATATTCGGTTTCCAATTACACGTGGCGGAGTCTCTGAAATGTGCAGTATGGCGAAGAAAGTCGCGAAAAGGGTAAGAAAAGCGAAATTCAGAGCTGAGGAAATTCAAAATTAAATACTACTTGAAGTTGAAGAGCAGCAAGTGGAACATGTGGCCTTTTTTAGCAGCCACAGCGCCACCATCATCAATGAGATGAAGAAAGAGATATGGCAGGGAATAACATCGAAGGTGAACACATGCAGTGCGAACTGTAACGGATTTGAAGGAGAAATGGAGAGCTCTAAAAGCGTCGGTTCTCAACAAAAACGGGAGGAGGGCCAGCACCAGCACCAGAGTCCTACAAAGAAGTGATCGTTTCAATCATTGGGGAAAAATCAAATTTGTTACCTCCCGACGAAATCGGAACTTACGAAACACTTCTCTGTCGTCGTACGTATCGAAGGAATTAGTACGGTCCCTGAAAATCCTTTTTCTTCGTAGAAGAAGCAGCTGTCATGCTTGGAAAAACAAAAGTGCAGCAATATTTACTCACGTTTAGGCCCGCTATCGGACCCCAGAGGTGCGATAACTTAAAACGCGAAAATCCGTACAGGATAGGCTAACCAGATTAACCTGAATACAGATTTTTCCAGCCTAAACGCCCGTATAGGGGATAAACGCGGTCAGTCGACCATACGGACCGACGTGAATACAGGTGAAAAACAAAATCACTGCATGCGAGATAAGATGTCTCCACAAAACCCTTAACATCAAAAGAAGAGACAAGCAGGGAACAGAAGAAGTAAAAGCATTTACTGGCACTGAGTCCTGCCTGCATTTAATAGGAAAACCGCCCAGAATAAAAAGGTTTGGCCACATGTTACGAAGAGGTGGATCACGCAACAGATGGACTGAGGGAGTCAAGGAAGCCCTAAGAAATAATCATATCCCAGTTGAAAGACCTGCTAGAGCTGGCCTCCCATAGAAAACTGCACCTTCCCTCGACGTTTAACGGCAACAGAGGATGAAAAAGTTAAAGTAGAAGTAAAAGTATAGTGCTAAAAAGGTCGTCACAACTGTTGAATTTTTATTCCTCCCCCCCTCCCCAGGTTCGTCCTATTGTTAACCAATCCCAGCCGATTGTCGTCCTGGTCTCCTTCGAGTTGGTCTCCATCGTGGAGGTGGATGACGTGAGCCAAAAGTTCCTGTGTAACGGATTTCTTTCTTTCATCTGGCATGACTCCGTGAGTTAATCAGGTTGCCACAATTCACATCATCCTCATCA